TATAAAACGATTTCGCGGGCCGGATATAATTGTATGGCGGGCCGGATGTGGCCCGCGGGCCTTGAGTTTGACACATGTGGTCTAGACTTTCTCTATCAGGTGTTTGACCAACCTGCTCTTAAAAATCCCCAGTGATGGAGATTCCACAACCTCCCTCTGCAATTTATTCCAGTGCTTAACCACCCTGTTAGGAAGTTTTTCTTAATGTCCAACCTAAACCACTCTTGTTGCAATTTAAGCTCATTGCTTCTTGTTCTATTCTCAGAGGTTAAGAAGAACAATTTTTCTCCCTCCTCCTTGTAACAACCTTTTACATACTTGAAAATTGTTCTCATGTCCCCTCTCGGTCTTCTCTTCTCCAGACTAAACAAACCCATTTTTTTCAATCTTCCCTCATAGCTCATGTTTTCTAGACCTTTAATCATTTTTGTTGCTCTTCTCTTGACTTTCTCCAATTTGTCCACATCTTTCCTGAAATGTGGCGCCCAGAACTGGACACAATACTCCAATTGAGGTCTAATCAGTGCAGAGTAGAGCGGAAGAACGACTTCTCATGTCTTGCTTCCAATACTCCTGCTAATACAGCCCAGAAGGATGTTTGCTTGTTTTGCAACAGCGTTACACTGTTGACTCATATTTAGCTTGTGGTCCACTATGGCCCCCAGATCCCTTTCCGCAGTACTCCTTCCTAGGCAGTCATTTCCCATTGTGTGTGTGCAACTGATTGTTCCTTCCTAAGTGGAGCACTTTGCATTTGTCCTTATTGAATTTCATCCTATTTACTTCAGACCATTTCTCCAGTTTGTCCAGATCATCTTGAATTATAATCTATTCTCCAAAGCACTTGCAATCCCTCCCATCTTGGTATCACCCACAAACTTTATCAGTGTCCTCTCTATGCCATGATCTAAATCACTGATGAAGATTTTGAACAAAACTGGACCCAGAACTGATCCTTGCGGGACCCCACTCGTTATGTCCTTCCAGCATAACTGTGAACCACTGATAACTGCTCTCTGGGAACAATTTTCCAATCAGTTCTGCACCCACCTTATAGTAGCTCCATCTAGATTACATTTCCCTAGTTTGTTTATGAGACGGTCATTCAAGACAGTATCAAAAGCCACACTAAAGCTTTACTAAAGGGACCATCTAGTGTGATATCCTGTCCTCTTCTTTCCGCCCCAGATGCTTTGAGAACCTCACACTTCTCTCTGCGTCCCTCCCCTTACTAACCACAAGGGATGCTGTGTTAAATGTAGATTTCAATTGTGTTCCACTTGGGTTGGAGCTGTACAGCAATGCTGGCTGTGGGAGAGCAAAGGGTGACAGCTCTGCATCCTGTGACAGTAGGAGGCTCGGACTGGGAGGGGACAGTAAATGTTTGACCTCACCCCAGCAGAACCAGGCAGGAAAAATGCACTTGAATATTGACTGCTCGGTTCTGCCCAGCCCCCTGCCCCCAGCCCCCAGGCCCCTGCAAGCCGAGCCTCAGGGTTCCCTCCCCCCGACCCACTCTGGCAGCGCTCCTCAATCCCCACCTGCTGCCCCACTGCTTTGTTGCCAATAGGAACTCAAACAGCCTGAGATGGCAAGATGCCCCTGGTATGAAAGGTATCAACTACGTCAATGAATTATCAAAAGCTGAGTGGCAACATGGTCTAAGATGCCACAAGTACTCCTGTTCTTTTTGAGTTCTATTGTCGCACTGGCGGGGGAATGGGGTGAAGTGGGTTAGAGGATAGGGGGTGTGTGGAGTCAGGACTCCTGGGTTCTCTGGTCGCTCCGGCAGGGGAGTGGGGTGAAGTGGGTTAGAGGATGGGGGTGTGTGGAGTCAGGACTCCTGGGTTCTATTGTCGCACTGGCAGGGGAGTGGGGTGAAGTGGGTTAGACAATGGGGGGCAGGGAGTCAGGACTCCTGGGTTCTATTGTCGCTCTGGCAGGGGAGGGGTGAAGTGGGTTAGAGGATGGGGGGCAGGGAGTCAGGACTCCTGGGTTCTCTGGTCGCTCTGGCAGGGGAGGGGTGAAGTGGGTTAGAGGATGGGGGGCAGGGAGTCAGGACTCCTGGGTTCTCTGGTCGCTCTGGCAGGGGAGTGGGGTGAAGTGGGTTAGAGGATGGGGGGCAGGGAGTCAGGACTCCTGGGTTCTATTGTCGCTCCAGCAGGGGAATGGGGTGAAGTGGGTTAGAGAATGGGGGAGTGGGAGGGGGTCAGGACTCCTGCGTTCTATTGTCATACTGGGAGGGGAGTGAGATCAAATGAGTTAGAGCAGAGGGACTTGGGACCATGATCTAGGTTCAGGTCTGTGCAGCATCCGGTTTGACAGGGCCCCAAATCTCAATGGGGGGGGGGATCTGTGCAGTTCCCAGTATTAGGGGGCCCTGATCTCAGTTGGGATGGGTTTGTGCAGCCCCCAGAGTGATGGGGTCCCAGATCTCGGTCAGGGACTGAGCAGCACCCGACATGATGGATCCCTGATCTCCGCCGGGGTCTGTGCAGAGCCCAGCATGATAGGGTCCCTGTACTCGGTAGGCGTCTGTGCAGGGACCGGCACGATGGGGTCCCTAAGCTAGGTCAGGGAATTTGTAGGGCCTGGCACGATGAGGTTCCCAATCTTGGCCAGCGTCTGAGCAGACCCACCCATCACTCACCTGCCTCCGGTATATTTCGGCTGAGGTATATTTCGGCTCCCGGGCCTGTCGGTGGCTGGGGTTGGTCTGTGTCTCTGCTGGGAGAGACGCGCTTTGAAGTTGACCAAGGCACCACAAAAGGTCTCCTGCGTTCTGAGTGTCTCAGCCGTCATCACGTTCCCCCCAGCGCGGAGCTCCTGCCCCCTTTACACCTCCAACCACAGCCATTGGGCAGGAAGCTGTGGCCAGCAATTGTTCCACCTCTGTGGTGGATCAAATGCACCTACCCTGGGTCTCGACCCAGGGAATGAGGTGCTAGAGAGGCTGAAAAGGAACACACAGTGAGACAAACCCCGATTCACTGGGGCCAGAACTGCGTGCCTGGAGAGAGCACCCCATGCTGAGCCCCCCACCCTGCAGCACAGCGCCTCCTAGTGCCACACTGGAGCACTGGAATGGGTTACCTAGGGAGGTGGTGGAATCTCCTTCCTTAGAGGTTTTTAAGGCCTGGCTTGACAAAGCCCTGGCTGGGATGATTTAGTTGGGAATTGGTCCTGCTTTGAGAAGGGGGTTGGACTAGATACCTCCTGAGGTCCCTTCCAACCCTGATATTCTATGATTCTATGATTGGGGCCAGCACTACCTGATGTGGGGGAGTACACACTGCTGAGCCCCTACCCTGTAGCACAGCGCCCCCCCAGTGCCACACTGGGGCCACCACCTCGTTTCTCACGGACCCCACTCAAAATACAGAGAAACCCCATCAATAGCAATGGAATCAGGCCAGGATTCTCATCACTGGGTCAATCCAGAGCAAGCCCAATGCCCTGGGCCTGTGGGGCAGGCTGTGGGGGAGGTGGGGAAATTGGGCACTGGGGGGGTAAGGGGGGGCGATGACCCTGGGTTGCTGTAGAGCAGGTTTGCGGTTTCCTTCTCTCTCTCTCTCTCTTCCCCCGTGTTTTTTTCTATCCACCCTTTCATTCCCTGGGACCCCAGAGTCCCACAGCAGCCGCTTTGCTGCTCCCATCAGGGGATTCTGCTCACTAAATTTCCTAAATTTAGATACAAAAATGATACATGCGTCTATATAGGATAATCATATTCAGAAAATCATATCTTTTCCAACGACACCTCACATGACTTATCTTGTACAAAATGCATCATAATTATGCCATAATCATATCATATTAATATTACGATGACAAATATGGGCTGCAGTGTCACACCCGTGAGTCCAGCTAGCCCAGTACCGTACCCCAACCCCACCACTCCTGATCACACCGATAGTCCCATTAGGTCCGGTATCCTTCCCCCTCCATTCCACCCTGGATTAGACCCATGGGCCCCTCAAGCCTGCTCTCCTGCCCCCGATCAGATCGACGTGCTGATATAGCCTGGTATTTTGCCCCTCCATGTACTCTGATTCGGGGGGCAGGACTATGCCCCTGACATGCTGTTTGTGGATCGCAGGGGCTGACATTGAAGATGTGAAAATCTCTTTGACTAAGAGCTGTTCACACCGGCGCTTTTTGTTAGTAAAACTTCTTGTAAGGGGTGTTGTTTTTTTCACACCCTGGAACGACAAAAGTTTTACTCACAAATGCTGTATAGAGAAAGCCAGAGTCATATAAGATTATAGAGAGATACGAGGGTGTATGGGGATAGATAGATAGATAGATAGATAGATAGATAGATAGATAGATAGATAGATAGAGGGGTGGGAGTAGGGAGTAGATAGATAGATAGATAGATAGATAGATA